AGTTTACATTGGCCAGACCGGCCGTTCCACCAAGACCAGAGTCAAGGAGGACCAGCAACACAGACCAAAGGCTCTTCCTTGACTGGCAATATCATATATCTGAAACCGATTCCACTATGGACTAGAATTCTAGGCTGATCACAGCAAGGGGTTAGCTCCTGCGTGATTACGCTAACAGAAACTACTACTTGATCTTTGGGCCGGACTCCCCCAACCACGACTCCTTACACCCACACGATCTTAACATATTAATTGTAAAGAACGTCTTCCTACCGGTGCATCTAACTGTCTGTTTCGCTCGGATCACTAGCCTATGCCGATCATCCATTAAAAACCTACCTGACCTCCCCGACTTCTTGCCAATGGACTTTGCTGCATTCCAGGCTTCCCTTGAAGACAAACTCCCGGGGAATTTCGTTGTGAACGACGACGAGGCAATCGTCAAGTGCGTCGAGGAGCTGACCATCGCCATCCAAGCGGTATCAGCTCCCAAACACCGACCCCTCGTGGGCCAGCGGCCTCTTCTTCTCGCTAGTATTCAAGACGAAATAGGCCTGAAGAACCAGCTGAGGAGGCAGTGACAGGTCGCAAGGGACCCCCACTCTGAAAGCCCAGGTCATTCGCCAAATGAGTTCGGTGACCTGTCGGTTGGTTGGCCCTGGTGATGGAGGCAGCAAGGACCTCTAAAACGTTGCTGAACTTTATCAGACATCAAGGCGCTACAACCCAGAAGACAGCCATATTCGGACTTACTGACATGAAAACGTCAAATCCTGTCTAACTAGATGACGTTTGAAGGTCACGAAAATTTGTTTGGAATTAGGAGTTTAGGATTAGGCGCTTGTATGTAACTAGTTAAGGAGCTCACTGAGGTTTCGTTGTCTGGTGAAAACGCGACTCATGCGTTAACTGTGGGAGCGAGGAGAATTCTGCTGTCATACTGTTGGTTAACTCTCTCATAAATACTAAAAAAACATACCTTTCTTTCCGCAGACGATAAACAGTTTTCTAATTTGGTAGGACGACATGTTTACAACACTTAGTTAATTGTTTATAGGAGATATCACGCAACGAAACGGGAGCACATGGCGAGTTCTTTACACTGTAGAAGAATGGAAACAGCGAGGTCTTCCACTGTGAGCCTGTTATTGTTTCATGTAACATTCATTGTCTGAGAAGCAGAACGTACAAGCGTCATTCAGATCAGAGATGGATGTACGAGGAACTGATTCAGTATTGTGACCAGTGGCGGGCCTTGGTGTTAGCGGTGTTGAACACCGGATTTTAGCATCTTGGTTGGATAGATACATCCATCATGAATCGGTACCGTAGTCCGGGTTTCGTTTGTATTTTCTTGTCTCCTGTGAAATATCTTGAAACGGATCACCGTCTCATCTGAGTTATAAAATCTTTTCCATAAATCTAATCAAGTGAATCAGCTTCAATAGTGTCCTCAGAATCAATTACTTGTGTGTCATCGTATGCATTGAATAGCCATTCAGGCATTGAAGACACGTGCTATTAGCTCGGTGGTACAATACGAGGTGCGATCGGAAAGTTTCAAGACTGGGCCTATAAAAACCCGTACACTTATCTCAGGTATTAAATTCATCAATCACCCTCGAAGTAGTTCCCCTGGGAGTGAACACAGCGATCCCAGCGCCGCTGCCAAGCCTGAAAGCATCCCTGGAAATCTTTCTTCTGACAAACGAGAAGTCGATTCTGCTTCTGGTCCTCAGACAGGATGCGTCGCATGTGGAGTTCTTCCTTTAGAATCAGCTGACAGGTCCCATAGCCTATCCCAACAATGTCGCACAGGTCGTTGATGGTACGACGTCGATCTTCGTAACTTTTTCGGGCGTTGTGCTCGAAGATGGTCGTCCAGAACGCTCGTCATCATCGACAGAGGTTCGGCCGGCCCTTTTTAAAACGTGAATGCCACACAAAAGTTTGCGGACTCCCCAAATGTTTGCTTTAGCATTTCATAGGTTTCCTTAGCCGTTTTGGCGAGTCTTTGGCAAAATTTGATGCACACGCGCCATTCCGAAATCGCAGGAGGGTCGGTGTAATGCACTACCAAAACGCCCGTAACTAAGAAACAAATGCTAATTCGATGATGCCGGCTGGCACACTGATTCACTATGAATGTAGGCCGCACCCCCTAGCGGCAGAAGCTCGTACTACATCCGGTTCGCCCTCTATTGACAGTCTTGAAACTTTCCGATCGCACCTCGTACTACTACAGTTATCAAATTGCACGTCATATCAACTTTGTATACTCAGTTATCTTATCATCTGTTCACTGAACAAAAATTTAAATGTGTTCTCCACTTTGGACTCCAAGTTCATGGACTTCCCAATGCATCCCTCGTTGGGTGTGATACGGCTTTCACACCGGGTGACGCAGACGACGTAACACATGGAACTTGAAGTTGACTCAGAATTACTGTTATCGTTGACTGAAATATCTCAGTTATAGTATGGAATGTGATTTACAAATGAACGGCTTTCGAATCTGAACGAAACTCATTTAAGTTTTGGAATGTACAAAAGTATGTCTGGAGAAATTCTTGTTTGGTTAAGTTGATTTGTTACATAGAATATATATATATGTACATTTTTTATTTTCAATGTTAAAAATAGTTTATTTCGGAATCTGTGTTGAATATGACCACGTTTTCTTTGATTAGACTCGAGCCTGTCTTTCCCATTGGTCTTGGGTCATCGGGTATTGTCTTGTGATAGGAAAGCGAACATAAACTGTTACTGCGTAAAAAAGAAAAGATTAACTTATTTAGTCCCATGAATTACTGCAACAAGTAATTTAAAATGCACAAGATTACATCTGATCCGCCATCGATAAAAAAGACGGGTTCAAGCCGAATTCCAAGGAACCAGGTCCTATTCAGCATCGATTTCTGTAAAACTTGTGATCTATTTGTATATAGAATATCTTTGTTCAAAATTTAAAATGGGAAATACGTCTTCTGTGTATGGAATCAACGAAAGTAAATAAATCTTTATGTGCTCATACTTTGGTATTTTTTCTGCTACAGCTAAAATGAGTTTAGATGAGATCCGTAGAGTCGTTAATTTTTATTATTTTCAAAACAGTTTTTTTTTATATGTTTGTGTGCCCCTGCTGTGTTTATAAACACAAACACAGGTTTATTAGTCATTGACGTCTTCTAACTCCGAATTGTCATTCTTCTCTATTCATCCGCTCTGTTTGATTTAGAATTTAGAATGCTATACACGTTTTTTGTCTACCATCATATGAAATTCTATAGACCTGCTTTAGCAGTTTGCATGTGCAAATTTTCCTGTATCACTGGTGTACGTGTAAATTGGTAAGGTAAGTTGTGAACTATGTTTTCAGTAAACAAAAATAATTTTGAGAAAGTTCTTGCAATTGACTTATTTTAAATTACACGAAAATGTAGTATCGCTTTAACAGAAATGCTAGTGTTCCTTATGTTGCTACGTCCTCAGAAATTTTCACAGGCATGTGTTAAAGACCAGCTTCAAAGTTGCACCAAAAGGGCTTGTGACCTTCCTTTTTGGAATCTTGAATGTTTGAGTGTTATTTTGGAGGATATACAAAACTGTTCTTCAATTTGGCAAAAAGCCATTTAACCTTGAATTCTAGTTTTGTGTCATAAGAGGTAATGAAATAACTACTTAATGTGCAAGTTATATTTATCTCTCGAACTAACAAAAGCAAATGCAAAGGGATATCGTGTTTGTCATTGTCTCTCCTCCGGCATTAATGAGCTCGGTAGCTGTAACTTCCTGATTACTCTATGTTCCACTTTTTATCCTGTATCATTAGTGCAGAAAGATGTGTCGTATGAGTTTGTATTAAACTTTTCTGTAAGATTTTGTGCATTGTAACTCAGTGTAAACATGTTTCTACCTTGAAGATTTCCGTCTTCTGGGTTGTTGCGCTGTGTAGACTGGTCGATGTTTACCAAAGTTTCTGAGGTCATACTACCTCCGTCATCAGAGTATGAAGATTTCTGTCTTCTGGGTTGTTGCGCTGTGTAGACTGGTCGATGTTTACCAAAGTTTCTGAGGTCATACTACCTCCGTCATCAGAGTATGAAGATTTCTGTCTTCTGGGTTGTTGCGCTGTGTAGACTGGTCGATGTTTACCAAAGTTTCTGAGGTCATACTACCTCCGTCATCAGAGTATGAAGATTTCTGTCTTCTGGGTTGTTGCGCTGTGTAGACTGGTCGATGTTTACCAAAGTTTCTGAGGTCATACTACCTCCGTCATCAGAGTATGAAGATTTCTGTCTTCTGGGTTGTTGCGCTGTGTAGACTGGTCGATGTTTACCAAAGTTTCTGAGGTCATACTGCCTCCGTCATCAGGGCGATGAATATCACGCTTCATTGGCCATAATATTTGATGCAGATACAAAGCTAATCACTGCACAGAATCAGAAATTATATTTAATTCTTCCGGTGGCTTAATGAAGAAAACACTGTTTCGAGAACCATCTTCGTCCTCATTCTATGTACTGAGTTCTGAGGACGAGGACAAAGGTGGTTCTCAAAGTGTTGGTGTTTTCTTTTTAAAGACACATTACACAGCCTGAGAAGAATTTATTATACTTCGTTGCCATGAAAGCTTTAGATCATTGAATCATAAATTGTTTCTCCTTTTAATCCTTGAATATTTGCTATATTAAAGAATGTTTCAGAGACATTTACAGAACTTAATACGGTTTATATTTTATATCATAATCACTTTGTTGTTCAGTGAACAAGTTTCAAGTTTGACTTTAACTTTGTGTAAAATGCAGTTACAGTGGATTGATACGAACAAAAATTAAATTTGTGATATAATTTTTAGTGTAGACTCCCAACATCAAATTTAATCAAAATCTATTTATTAGTTTAGAAAATAATAATTTTGACAGACATATGACCTTCCATTGTACCTTCATTTCACTAGACAAAGAATGCACGATTATGATTTTTTTAAGGTTGTCAGGTGTGTATTTGAGTCTTGTTCTTCTTGTTTTCAGATGCAACGTAAGCAGTTGTAGGCCAGGTATGATGGTATTACCAACATGACGCTTCACTGGTGGATGCACTGGTTCTGGATCACCAGATTACCAGGTAATTGCTATTGTTTCCTGCACCAGGTTCATTTATAGACAGGCTCCAATGTTCGGTAAGATGAATGATGATGATACTGTCTGGTTCAGCATGGATTCTGAGACTGTTTCTTTTTTATTTTCGTCAAATTTGTGGAAAGTATGATTTGATATTGAGAAGGGGGGGAAATCTACAGTTGTTTGAACCTGAGGCATTTTTAATTTTAAACTGCCAGCATGTAAGATTCCCACGTGCATATATTATGCCACATTTATCATATGTTTTTAGTAATCCAATTATAACTGAGATTTACTGTTAAAGAATTAATTTTATCTGTTTTTGATTTCATTTTTTACAGAAAACTAATGTTGTAGTGTTAGTACCTGAAATTTCAGCATTGCTGAAATAAAAATTAAACATTATCTGTTTTTATAATTAATTTCAACCAAATTTAATTAAATCCACACTAACATAACCATAAGAATCTTTTTTCATGTAATTTTAACATCAGTATCGTCAGAAAGAGGTGCAGGTTACCCCTGTTGATACCGGCTTTGGAAAAGGAGGCAAAAGTGTATTTTGCCCCAACTCCAAAATTTTGTGAGAAGCCAATACAGAATTGGAGAGATTAAATCTGAGAGAGAGCACAATATTTTATAACTACTGAAGAACAAAGAAGTGATTCTGTCGGCACTATACGAGGTGCGATCGGAAAGTTTCAAGACTGCGC